GGAGGGGAGGGGGAGCTTCACATCCGCGGTAACTAGCACCGGTCGCACTACTGCACTACCGCTACCCAGCTGCTAACTTACACGGTGCGCGGTTAAGTACAAAGGGAACTACTGGAGTTAGCAAAGGCTCCGACTGAGCACGCTCTAACTCCAATGTCTGCCCTGGGCTGTCCCAGGCAAGAAGCTTCTCTTCACAAGACTGTGTAGCTGCAAAACAAATGTAAGCATTAAAATAATAAACAAACAAACAGAAACCAGAAAGCAAAATAAAAACCGACAAAGAACTACAAACACACACAGCCCCATCCCCGGCCGGCACACAGACCCATCCACATCCCAGCAACCTCTACCCGCTCTCCTGCCTCTGTCACGCACCCGCTGGACTCTGCTCCGAGGGGACCACCCTGCAGGACACCCCTCGGAGCACGGCAGGAGCCGCACTAACGCTGCTGGGGGTCCTCCGAGGGTGACCTGCAACACTGGCGGGAGCAGCGACAGAGCAGCACGAGGGCAAGTACGAGATGCGAGTGAAAGGGAAAGAAAGCAGGGCATCCAAATCATGGCAAATCTCAACTCGGAGGGGACCACAGGGCGGGAGAATGCAGCCCGCTTGGCAGGGGCGTGATTGGGCACTCCCAAGCGTACCAAGCAGGGCCCTGCTATGAGCAAGAAGACAGAGTTAATAAGAAAGCGGTGATGGACGGTTCACAGCAAAAGGGACTTCAGAAGAGATCATTTCCCTTCCGTTCGGGCTGGACAAAACATCTCACCCACTGCACCTCACCAACAGCAGGCTGACATCCTTAGGGGTGTTTTTACTTCAAAAACAAGGTAACAGAGAGGCTGCAACTGCTGCATCCTATGAGATACTGCTGCTGCGTGCAGGAAACCAGGGAAGGAAGACAGGAGACAGAAGAGGGCATGCCTGTTCCTTCCCTCCCAGACTGACCTGAACAGAATCAAGTACCACAGGTGTCCCCAACTCACAGGAAGGATCCTTCCATTAGAGCTTTACAGAGTCAGCCAGCTAGTATGGTATGTCTGTGTAGGGGAAAGGCTGGGAATCCCACCTAGCTGTTCTCTAACCTACTAGCTTTTTTCAAATCCATTTTCAGAGTTTTTCCACCACAGGTTCCTCTATGGAGGCAGCCAGTTCGGGAGGGATCAGGCAGACTACCATAACGAGCAGAGTAACCACGGTACCAGCTGTCTGAGCCAGCAAGACAGATATGCAAGGTAAAGCTCACATCAGATTGATGTCCCTCAGTGCATTATCCAAGGATTTTTCATGCTGAGCACCTGACAATGGATTCAGAAATGCCATAGGGTCTTCCAGCAGCCATAGCCTCCCTTCCAAAGCATCCTTGAAGCAGTCTGACCTGTTTTTCATTCCTTTTGTACTTCCTGAGCACCATCCATGTCTGGGGTGCTCACACGTTCCCGACAAGCGAGACTGAGCTCAGCCTCGCGCATCCCCTCCATGAGCAGACCTGCACCCCAACCCCATTTACCACGAGGAAAACTAAGAGGTGCCCGAGGAAACCCCGAAAGGCGGCGTCTCTGCAGAGAATTCCACGTCTCGCCCAGATGAAAGCAAGGGAATGGAGAACCTAGAATGAGGTTCTGTTTGTTTTGTTGGGTGGTGGGTTTTCTTGGTTTTGTGGTTTGTGTTTGGGTTTTTTTTTTTTAACCCAAAAAGGGAAGGAAAGGTTTGGAAATTTTTAATGTACAAAGGAGGGCATTTTGCAGGAAGGGAGATGATATCTTTTTATTCTGGAGGACTGGAAATGGGGGGGGAAAAAAAAAAAAAAAAAAATCAACGTTCTGGAAGGAAGTTGAGGAAAGGAAAAATCTTGGGGAAGGAGAAATGGGAAAGGTGGAGGGAGGGGTGGGAAAAAGATGCCGTGAAGCGCTGCACCCCTGGACTTACTGGCTGAGAAACAGAGAGAAAGCTGGGACTGCATGGACTCAGTCTGTGTTTTGCTCTCACTGTGCCTCCGTCCTTCAAGCACTGAGCTGCCGTCCCCGGTGGAGAGAGGGGGAGCTAGCATGGCAGGGAATTAAAAACACAAACACAAACAAAAGACGCAAGTTCAGTAAATAAAAAAAGAGAAAGGAAATAGGAGAACATTAAAGAAACCACAATGCGGGCACAGAACATGCAGGAGTATCCTCCAGGGCAAAGCCAAGTAGACAGCTCTACAACATAGACCTGCTGTGCAATTTACAATGCTGCAGCGGCGGGGGCCCGCTGCCTTTAGCCCCACCACAGTGGAAGCAACATATCCCTGAAGCAACTGTCACTGAGATGTCTCCTGCACCACAGCAGAACCGATCTCCATAGCCTGTTGTCTATGGAAAACAAGAAGCTGGCAGAGGAATTGCAGAAGCAACCCTTTACCCAGTGTCATGGCTATGCAGAATGCGGAGAACTCCAACACCCCCAAACCTTTTGGTCTATATAGTTTCGCTTGAGTGCTTGCTTAGCTTAAAACATGGAGGGGCAGGAGTTGAGAAGGAACACTGGTGAACAGTGCAGCACTAACATCACCAGAGCTGGCCGTTACTGTGCAAGCTCCTTCCTTCCCAACCTTCATTCAAATGCTCTTGTCTATTAAATTAGTAACAAAATTTTCTGACCTCAGCCAAAAAAAATCCAACCACCACCTCAGTTTTGATCTGCAGCAACGTAGCCCTGTAGGATTCTTCACAGATTTAGACCTGGACAGCTGGCCTCCTCTCCTCCCACACACACCTTGGGTTCCAGTCCTAGCCTTCCTCTCCTCCCAGCATTTGTAGTCATGACTTACAGGACCCGTTGCCTCAACTGGCTCAAGTCTGGGACCTCTCCTGGACAAAAGCTGCCAAAGGAGACAAGGATCTGGACAAATATCTGTTCTGGACAGGCATCCGGTGGAGATTAGCTCAATCAATTGCATTACCACACTACCCAAACAATCCAGTTCCCTTTACTCAAAGCTAGGTTCTTAAACCAAGGACTACTCTTGGGCAAAAAGGTGGGAGCTAGAATGCTGTCCTGTCATGACATCAGGTCTTATCTGAAACAATCTGTATTGCAGAGCTCATTCGCTCACTGGCATGCGTTTCTGCTCCCTGTGACTCCTCAGAAGCAGAGCCAGCAGCTTGCAATAAGACACAGGAAAAGCATCAGGAACTAGCCCAGCTGAGAGAGATGCCATTGCTGCTACACCACAGGGTCAACACTGATTTTTCTCTGGATTTTCTCCCTCAGCTCAGACTGATTACATGGAGAATGAGAATATCTCTGCCTCAAAATGCAAACTATCAACACATTTGCCTCAGAATGCAAACTGCATTCACCCATCCCAAATGTGCTCATTCAGGAAAACGTATGCTTGTCCTTCTTTATGGAGGTCAGGAAAAGGACAGCTACTCAAACAACATGGGCAGATAGAGGACTCGGAGCTCCTTCATCTAAAGAGCTTTACAAGCACTTTAGACCGTATTTATGATACGGTCACTGAAAAGTGTGAAATCTCTTCTCAGCCTCTCCCTCTACTGATATCTTGGGCAAGGACATAAAAAAATAATTTCTATTCAGAGATGACAGGCTGAGAATGATCTTCATCTTAGCAGCAAAAATAGACCCAAAGAGAAAAAAAGAGCGAGGGAAGTGTGTGCATGTTGCTAAAGAGATTGCTAGAAACAGGTAAGAAGGGAGACTGAGCAGTCAGGGAGGTTTCAACTCTTTGTAACCTATGGGGAAGCACAAAAACACAACCAGATTCCAAACTTCAAGAGATTTTCCAAGCCTAGAAATGGACTGGAGATGAACAGATTATGATATTTGCAAGAAGAGAATTCCAACCCTGAGACAAAAACAAATTAGCTCAGGGCAGACTGTTTATATACCACTGAGGCCAAGTCAGCTGGTCCTCCAACGCATGGTCCCACTGTGACAGGAATGACAGCGTCATGGCGAGTTTATGAACTGAGTCAGACACAAATCTCTGGGAAGCTAGTTCAAGGCAACGACTGAATCTCCAGAATCCCCTGCCTGCCCTTTACTGTATTAGAAATTACAGCAAAAGACCTACCTTTCAGATCCTCGTCTTCAGTCGTGGTGTTACAGCTCTCTGTGGAACCCTGCACGGCAGAACAGAGCATTACCAGGCATCAGCAGTCGGGACCATGGGGAAATAGTTTGATTTGCTTGTGAAGGAAGATGGGGAAAAGCGCAAAGACATTGGCAGGTATAGCAGGGAGAGGATGATACAAGGAAGATTTGGATGGAAGCAGGCCAATTACTAAGCACAACTTCACAGCATCTCTGCTCAGCTTTTATGTGTTTAAGCCGTACAAGCCGTCCAGAGCTTTCACAAGGACAGAAGTTACCAAACTCTGCCAAAGGAGATCAAATGGGAGTTGCTTTTGTTTGGAAGAAGAATAGCCACAAGAAGCTAAAGAAGGGCTCCTAGGCTCTCTCAGAGGAACAGGTCTCCATTTCCAGAGAGAAAAAAGCGTGTTAAGTGCCTGTATCTTCTCTTCCACCCCACATACAAAAGAGGGTGGTGATTACACACCCCGGCAGGAAAGAGATGACAGTATTTGAACAGTTGTCCCTACTCAGCCTCTTCCAGGGATCCACAGCCATACAAGACTACCCTCCCAGTCTACTGCCAGCAGATTCAGGAGCATGCTACAAACCAGACATCAGAAGGGTAGAAACCAAAGTAAGGCACACGAAGACAAGAACAAGAGAGAAGCAGAGGTTTCTCTGGCAACGCTCCCATCCCTTACCTTTATGCCATCTGTAGCATTATGGACAACAGTAGTTTGAGGCTCCTAGGAAAGGATGGAAGAATCATTAAACTCTAGTTCCAAAGCATTCTCTTACTTCTTTTCACTCCCCAGCAAGTGGAGAAGAGGTGACTGACACAAAAATAACCAAACCACAAACTCCAAACAGCACACGTGTGCTTGCGTGTGTGCGCACACACTTCCTGCACAGCACGTTTCCTGAAGAGAGAGGCTGCACTAAAAGCTACAGTTGCAAGGAGACAAAGCCCCCAGCTTCCCTGATACCCAACTGTCCCTAATACCCGATTTGCCTCCAGTGAACACGGCTGTCTGAAACGCCAGACAGCAACCAAGCAGCCAGGCTGCACCCTCTGCAGCTGTTCATGAAGTAATGACCCCTTGAAGCGTCCTCACCGGAAAATGCTGCAGGAGAGGGAGGAAAAAAAGGACAATACTGGGCTGGGGCCTTTGTCTCCCAGTTTTTTTGGAAAGTTTACTGGGTGTTTTACCTTCAAAAGGGACATTCATAATTTCCACAATAAAAAGGGGATAAGCCAGACCACCTCAATGCCTCTGAAAGAGGAATTGCTAAAGGAACTGGGCTGTGAAAAAGTCCCATTTTTTTAAATTTTCTAAAGTGAGATCCAATTTCAATGACAACAATAATTACTAATTTAGAAAGACTCCCCCAGTATCAAAACCATAATGAACAAAGCCAGCGAAGGCAGAAAATTATGAAGTGTCCCAAGAACCCTTTGCCCTACAACAAACAACAGAAACACCAAATCTCACCCTCCGACCCCCCCAAAAAAATGCCAAATCCAACTCAACACAGACACACAACAAGGAACAGCTACCAGGCCTGTGGGTGCTAACTAGCTCCTGCACTAGCTCCTGCACCGGGACAAGACTTCAGGATCCTGCACCATCCCCTCCCACCGCTGTCACTCTTGCAGGGTGGCTCAGCCAGGGCACCAGGGACCGTGACGGTGCAGTGACGTACACCCATCCACCCGCCTGTCACCCACTGCACTGCTGCCTGCTCTTTCAACCATACCGAGGCGGACCACGCCGAGCTGTGCTGTGAGACGTACCAGGCACAGGACACCCTACGAGGCTCGCTGCAACGCTAGCCCAGCAAGTCAGCGGGCTGCGGAGGATCGACCACAAAACTGAGCAGCCCAAATGGGCCACCAGAGGGTTCCTCTAAAAACCCTTTGCCTGCCCTTTCTTCTGTGGTGTCCTGACGTCCATCCTCTATTTCCTGGATGCTGGAGAGTGGAGGGAGCTGGCCACTCTCTTCTTCCAAACCAGCCTCCCCAAAGCCAGCAGGAACAGTTGAACGGGACACACAGAACTATACAGGGATGGCACAAAGGGAAGTCCAGGCAAGCTGCGATCCCCACATCCAACCACAGCTCCGCTCAGCACCCCCACCCCAAAGCCTGTGAGGCTGTGATCAGGCTCCACAGCAGCACAGGGACACAGACAAAACAAAGCCAAAACACAAGCTGAAACAGAGCAGCACAAGCAGCACTCGGGGTGGTGGGGGAAGGAAAGAAGGGGAGAGAACAGATTCAAAATTAAACCAAACAGGAAAAAAAAATAGCAGTTGGGGAAGATACCATGGACGTCTGCACTGGGGGTGTTTCTTTTGCAGTGCTTACTATACTGGTTTTGTTGTTGCTCTGTGGCTAAGACAGAAAAACATGGTTTTAGTTCCACTGCTGGGCAGCAGAGGCAGCAAGAAAATGACAGTATTGCTTCAACCCCAACCATCTCCTCAGACCCTCCCCTCCCCACAGGCTCGATCACCAAGAGAAGGGAGGAAGGAGTGCTGCCCGGGTCGCTGGACATCATCCTTCCCCGGAGGCAACAGATGTAAGGGATGTACCAAATCCCAAATGTGCATGGACTGCTGGAGCTATAAGGAAGGAAAAAGGAAGGGAAAGGCAGCATCCCAAAGGGATGGGGAGAATCCTGCAATGAGCACCAACAAAAGTATTTGGTGAAGAAGGAGAGATAGCAGCTGTCCTGAGAGAAAGACACTGCAGAAGTGACAGACACACAACAGCCATGGTGCAGTCTCAAACAGGGGACAAGTGGGAGGAGGAGTCCCACAGTGCGCGGGAACAGTCCTAGATATGCGATCATGCTGAGGGTCCCAGGGAAGCTACTGATGCCAGGAACAGTGTGGTCAGCCCTAGAAAATGTAGAGAAAAGGTGAGGTATGGTGTGTTGTATCCCTGCTGTGACCTGAACAAAGAGACTTCAGGACCAAAATATGGAAAGGGATGGGGGCGGGACACAAGTTAAAAGCCATGTAGACCCCCAAGTAGCAAGTCCTCTGGACGGTGCCCAGTAGTTTTTCATCTTCGTTCTCTCTTGTAGCTGTGGCAGAAGAATAAAGTCTTCATTTCCTGCATTCACACAGTACAACAGTGAGGCTGTCAACAGCTTGCTGCACAAATTTGTCCCACCGAGTCACGTCGGTCACATCAGGAATGAGCAAAGTCTGTGTTGGTAGGAAGACAAACCCGTGTCCACTACTAGTGGTTCTATATAGTTCCTAGCCCATAAATCCAGTCAGACAGAGAATTAAGACCACAGTTACACTGCCATGTAACCCCCCCCACCAGGTATACAGCTCTCCTGCTGCCAGGCACTAGCAGTAATGTCAAAATCAGCACCACAGGAGCCTCCCTCAATCTCCCTGGTTTACAGACCACGGGCACTAGGTGGGAGCTCCCGGCAGTGTGACCTCAGTGCAGCTGCACCCCATCCCGCTGTTCCCAGGGAGTGCAAACTCGAACGGCAAAATGTCAGGCCCTCATCACCCAGTAACCACCACAAAGAATGCAGAAGTCAAATGCTGAGCTGGAAAACATCTGCCAAAGGTCTAATTATGTCAACCAGAGACAGATCTTCGGAGGTTGAGACTTCACACACACCTACCAATACTTCAGTTTTTCTTCAAAGCAGCATGCCTTGGCTTAGCTATCCCTTTTGGAGAGGGGGAAAGGAGAAACAGAAGAGGAAGATGGGGCAACTGGAGAGGGGAGGAAGTAGAAGAGAGAGGCAAGAATGCTTTCTTTAAACGTCCAGGGGGGGAAAAAAAAAAAAAAAGAGCATATGAGCACTCATCACCAAAGCTAAGAAAGAAGAAACACTTCACAAATTACTGTTTACTGTCTCCTCCTATACATCCCCGCATTGTCCTAAGACTTTGGCCTTCCATGAGCTTTGCTTCCTGCATGTATTTCCAGCCTGATGGCAGAAGAGATGACAGGCCACTGTGGATATAAGAGAGGAGCAGATCAACCTGAAAAAAGGAATCCCAAGCTAATTTGTGGCATAAACACAACCAAACTGCCGGCAACACCTGGGTCCACCCCTCCACACAGCACTGAGGTTCACAGGTTCACAGAGTGGAAGAGGTTGGAAGGGACCTCTAGAGATCACCTAGTTCCCATACTTCTTCAGAAACAGTGATCCTAGTGCAGAGATCTATCCTCCAAACCTCTTCCAGTGATGAGAGCACAGCCCATTTTTCTTAGCCCACTGGGATAAGACAATAAAGTTAGCAGGAAAGAACCTATACAAAAGTAATTCCAATTTTTTGAAAGGCTTTAGAACTGAGGCCCAGTGGGAGAAAAAACATCCAGAAAGCCACTGTTCGATTTTTTGGAAGGCTTTAGAACTGAGGCCCAATGGGAGAAAAAAAAACATCCAGAAAGCCACTGTTCTGAAAAAAAGTTGACAGCAGCTTGTTAGGTGTGGGATGTCACCTCACAAAGGGGCAAACCACCAAAGAACACAGCCTACCCTCCAGGCTGCACTGAACACCCAGTTCATCCATCACACTCTTCCCCAGGCAGTGGGCTGAGGAAGACCAAGCATCACGTTTACCAGTCCAGAATCACACAGCATTTTACTCCAAGACAGAGTCTCAAGGAAATAAGAGGCAGTGGACTTCACCTAAGCATTTTTCACAGCTCTTTCTCAGATGGAGTTATCTGACATACTGAGCTTCCCACACACACCTGTGTTTTGTGGCCACCTACCCAATGGCCCCTTTAGGCCTGCCCTTCCCAGAGCCCCAGGTGGCACAGCCAACTCCTACCCCTTCTTCCCCTCCTGCTGCCAGCCAACACCACAGTCACCGTGCAGGCTACGACCCTCGGTAATTCACAGAGGTACAGCTCAAGTTAAAAGAAGCCAGTTCACCTAAAAAGGGGCCAGGCCCTTCTTAAACCCTGTGTAACACAGTTAGTTTTGGCACAACAGTTGGCAGCACTTCCTAAGCTAGACAAGAGACAGACAGACAGGCACAAAGAACACAGAGGGTGCAAGAGGAAGAAAACAGACCAGTGACCATATCGCTAGGGACACACATTTCTAGCCAACTAAAAGGAAGTAAGTACCAACACATGGGCTGCCTCTGGTTATTCAGCCACCCTCACTGCTTCCATGTTTTCTGAGGCTGACACCTACACGTTTTACATATCCCAGCTGCTTTAAAACAACAGGCAGAGAACATTTAAGTATTGCTGGCAGTGGGCAGAAAAGAATGGCAAGAAGGGCAAAATGAATTCCTGCCCTGGACCTTCATAAAGGCAGAGCTGGGGAAAAGTCAGTCCCCACATCTAGATTTTCCAAGCAGTACTTTGGGATAACTTCTTTTATGTTTACATAATTTTAAGATGTCAGTGAAGGAAGAGCAGAAATAATCTTCCAGATAGTAATGTAGAAACAAATTATTTTGCTTTCTCAGTACTGTAACATCCCTGTTCCTACCTCAAAAGGAGAAATATTTTCTGTTCTTATTCTGTGTAAAGGAGATAATGCCATAACTAATTTTTGTAGTTCAGTTACTGTGCATATCTCAGTGTCAGAGACAAAGGCATCATTAATGGCTCCTTAGAATATGGCACTGGCCAATTTTCTCTTTGCTCCCTTGAGAGTGGATTTGACTACTTTTCTGACAAATTCTATGGATGTCAAACATCTGGATGGATGAAAAAAGGAAATGAACAGGACAGTTACTGGGTATTTGGTCATGCTGGGACACATAAACGAGATCAGGACAAAAGGAAGTTGTGGATTATAAATGCTCTGACAAACCTTTTCAGTAAGTATGCTAAAAAAAGACGTGACCAGCAGCTCTGAGCTGCCCGGTGGTGCTGTGCCCACACATTTCATCTGAACAGTGAAGCCCCAGACTCTGCCACATTTAGAGCGACTCCCAGTTTGTTCTACACTGTGGGGCTCCCACCAAGGATGACGGCACCAACACCAGGCAAAGCACCTGCTCCTCTGTTTTGCACCTCTGCAACAGAACGACAAAGCCCCATGTCCAAGCAAGGCACGCACCTGCTGTGCTGAGCCCAGGAGCACCACTGGACCACCACTGTCTTTTTTCGTTTTACACTCGGAGCAGGCAAGGTCCAACTGCATTGCCAGCCATTCATTTTCTGCACAGAAGGGGGACTGTACGACTGGCCGGGGGCCAGATGATCACAGGACCCTCTTAGTGAGGACATGGACCTTTCAGTGCAGAATGATCCCCCCGCCACCGCCCCCCTGCACAGACATGCTATGTAGGTGATGAGCACAAGCCGAGCGTGCATGGCATGAGAATGGCGGACGCACGAATCGCAGGCAGCTTACGGGAGGTGCTCACCATCAAATGCACACTGGAGCTCGACTTCCTTTTCTGGACACACCATTGAGAGAGGGAAGAGATGAGAAGAAAAGCACAGAAACTATTCACACATTAGTGTGCCAGCAAGGGCCCCCCTGCCAATAATAATGCTCCCCTAGGGCAGGTACAAGCAGCAGCAGAAAGGCACAGACACGCGATGGCGCAGAGAGAAGTCACCATTAGAGAACATGGCTACACACCCAGGGAAGGGGCAGGGTTGAAGACCCCCATCCACGCCAACATCGAGGTCAGAACATATGTGCCCCACACACTGATACGAGGAGAGGAGGAGAGAGAGGAATATAGATGCACAAGATGTGGGGTGCAAGGGGGTGCCTCTGTGTGCTCTCCCACCTCAAAACTGTGCAGCTTTCCCCAGCCACACCGAAGAGGTAGGCAGAAACCCACTGTGTGGTCATATCTGGAGCAAGCAGAGGTGTGTTTGCAACTAGAATCAGGGGGTAGGGAGGAGGACACAAGAGAAGGGGCATCCCCAAGAGCTAAAGAAGGGGGAACTTCTGTGCACAGCATCGAGGGAGATAGGCTCCCTCACACACAAATTGGGGCTGATTGGAGAGGTGAGGCATACCCATGCTCAGACACAGAGGAAAGGCAGGAGAGACAGAGGCACTCAAGAGCCACAACACCTTGTGCTCTTCAGTACTGGGAGAACAAACACAGAGCAATGCTCAAACACTACCCAACCTTTTTGGGCTCTACTCATTCACAGGCATTTTCAGTCATCTTCAAAGCCACCCTCACACCAAACTGCACTGTCCAGTAAACCAGGCTCAGCATGCTCTGCTCTTTCACTGCCATCCTGTCCAAGCTGAGCCTGGCAGGTCTTACAGCACTGCAGTGCTACCCCTTCCCCTACTGTCTCCACATACACTTTCCATCAGGCCCTCTCCTTTGGTACTATCCAGGCTATTTCTCTGCTGCTCACTACAGAGTCTAGCTCAGAGTAGCACGGGATGGCGCATCCCAGCCAAAACCCACCATAGTGTGGGCTCAGCTACGTAGCTCTGGATGCCTGCATACTACCACGGCCCACCTCTGGAGCAGTCCTGGAACTCAGTACAGGCCATGGAACTGTACATCCCCATTTTACACACTTACTGAGCCTTCACAGCTTTCACCTTGAATATTGCCTTCATCCCTGCCATCCTCACATCAGAGCTCAAGCACACATACAGATGGGCATGTCCTGGAGAGCAGAAGTGCCCATGTTCACCTCATACTCAGAACCACATTCCTGATCACACCATACAGTCCAGAACCACACAGCCACTGCACAAACAGGCTCAAGGTAGCAAAGCTTCCGCCTCATCTGATAATTAAGTCTAATACAGACAGACTCCAAACAGAGGTCTGTTCAGCATTTGGCACACAAATCTTCCACTTTGTGGAGGCACAACACAGGGCTTGGCATTACCTGTAAAACCAATCTCTGATTTACAAATGTGTGATTGCTCTCATCTTCTTTTAGGACAATTTAGCTTCCCCACCGGCTTTTCCTCAAGCTAGAGCCAAAATAGAATGTACTACTACCACATAAATACAATGCTTAGACCACCAACAGCTCAGAGGAATCCTGGTACCCAGTCACAACAGGAAACTTTTAACTGGGAGAAGGGGAAATTCACACCAGCTGAGAAACTGCTCCAAAACTTCAGCTTATTTGCAATGTATCCTGTAAGCTGCAGCAGACAACCGAGGCTACAGAAACTTCTCTCTAAGGAAACAGTCAAGTTCATACATATTTCCAACAAGTTACAGAAACAAGAAAAAGGCAGAAAATGTTGAGACAATCAAAAGGTTCAATATGAAAGGAGAATCTACCAGGGCATACAGAAAACAATCAGCCTCCTATATTAGAGGCACAAGTAACAGTGACCAGGAGGAAACAGAACCCTCTGCAGATCAGAATTTAATTAGAGTACAATCTAAATTTAAACCAGCATTGGTCTATTAACATGGCATGATGTATTACAGAAATCCCAGAAAGCACGTTATCACTGGCTACTATAACAGGGGGAAGAAAAGCTAGCTAGGCATTCTGAAAAGGGTGGGGAGTGAAGTCTGCTGAGACCAGAACAGGAAAGTACTATTACAACTCAGGACAGGTGGGATAATGCCAACATGAGGCACCAGCAGTAAGTGCTACAGCCTCAAAACTTCTTAAGCCAAAACACACACAAGGAAATTACTAAAACCAGATCGGTCTCCTAAGCCCGTCTGTAGCTGCTGCATTGGAGCCATCTACATCACCTTCCCAAGGTGACTACCTGAATGAGCACAAGTTTTTGTTCCTAGAATGTGACTGCAACTTAGCAAAGTAAGATAACAGTTCAGTTACAGAGAGAATTCTCTTTCTGTGCCACAACACAGCTACATCTCTAATATTTCTAAGCAGTGCAGAGACATCCCAGGGAATGCAAAACATTGTTAAAGGCAGAGAGATAGCCTGTGGTAAAGTACCTCACTGATTAAGGATTTCCCTATGTCTGAGTGACAAAACATTCTCCCAAAGCAGTACGGACAACATTTTCCTCTCAAACCCAGGGATGAATGCCTGTTGAAGTTGTATTTCTGTATGTGTGTAAAAATTCAGGTGTTCACCTCAAAAGAGGAACAGATTCTCTACAATGAAACTCAATGCTGACTCTTGCTTTACTTAACAATAAACTGAAGTCAGCAGATGACAGATGACCTGAAGGCTCACTGTCCCTTCAGCATACCAGCAATACTAGAAATGGCAAGTACAAATCATTGTGAGCACCAACAGAAAATACAACGCAAACAAGAAGATGCTATAGGAAGTGTTTGCAGGCAAGGTCCCATTCACAGTTCTGGGCACTTAACATGGGTATCTTTTTAGAACAGCTTTTTGCATTTCTGTCTTCTAAATGCAGTTCTCTCCCGGTTTGACACCAATAGTTTATGTTTGTTAAAATATCATGCCTGATGCGACTCATATTCCTACAGAGAATATAGTAATTTCAGGACTTAAGGTAAGAAAAAAAATTGTTGAACTCAAAGCAGATCATCGAGAGGCAGCCCGAACTAGCAGACTGGAGGTCCTATTTCTACTTCTGCTTTAGTTCTTTTGTGTGATGCTGAGCAAATCATTTTATCTCTGGCAATCCATCTTCCCTTCTGCCCTTTGTCAGCTTGTCTATTTAAATCGTAAGCTAAGAGGCAGGGATTTTCTGATTAGGCACTGCTACAGCACTAAGCACACTGCACCCTTGATCTCAGTTGGCGGTTCTAGGCATTACAACAATGCAGTGAAAAAAGCGAATGCATCAAAAGGTGGGTAGAACGTGTTGTTCCTGGGTGTCAGCACTTGAACAGATCCAAAGCACGCCCCAGGCATTTTGCAAAAAGCAGTTCAGTATAGAACTGCGCTGTTCAGGTGAACCCGGATTCTCCTCATTGAGCTCTACCGTAACAATCATGAAACAGCATGGTTTTCAGATCATGAAAAGTCCAGATAGAGAAACAGGAGCATTAACTCCTGTTGGTCACTGTACGGATGTTACTTGACCCTTGCGGATTTCCAGACCCTTGTAGATTTTCTGAGGATTGCCTGTTGGCTCACCACACTACAGTGCTTTCTGTGCCTAAGGCACGCCTTCACACGCTGCTTTCTCAGCAGCCATGCCAGCTTGCAGCATCCTGCCCTCCCCACATACTCTTTACGGGCAAAGGGCAGAGAAAGCTGGTACGCACCAGGCATAAAACATACACTTCTGTCAATATGCCATACAAACAGCAGAACAAATGGTATTTGGTGCCTCTTTGCAGTTATGTAAGATGAAGGGCAGGTTTTACAACAATAATTTGTCACAGCAAGATCTGGGTTTTTACTCTTTCAGCTGAGTTCTCCTTTCAGCTATGCTATTCAGCTTTTACTGGGACAGAGAAGAGCGTGCATGCAGCAGAGAGACAAGGTAGAAAATCAACAAATTTTGCAGAGCATTGCACGTGAATGCTGTTAAAATCCCCTGCATCCCATAGCATTCTCCACAAGTTGCTTTTTACGTAGACTATTACATGGGGCTTGAAAAAAACATTGTTATTATAATTTTGTATCCCCTAATCCTAAACTGAAATGCTCAGAGTAAAAAAGAAAGAAGAAATTGACAAAGAGCTTAGAGAACTCAGTTTGAAATACTTAGAATTACATACTTAACTAAAAATAGCACTTTGTGCATTAACAAATTCTGATTATAAAGATGGATCTGATGGGCCCTACTGGAACTGGAAACACATGCATCCTCTTACACCAGTAGCAAGGGCAATTCCCCTTTGGGCAAAAAGGGAACATAACTGTTGAATGTGCCTTCACAGAGGAAAACAGAAAAAAAAAAAATCACCAATAGGACACTAACACTAACTACAGGGAACTCAGACCCTGACAAGGTCAGAGAAAGGACATTCAGCATTAAGTGCTTTAACCTTCACCCAGGTGTCTGCCCCAGCCCACTCCTTAACCCCTCCCTCACCTTGCAGTGGATGGCAAGTCCACAATACAGGCAGAAAGAGGAACAAGAAACCAAGTAGATTTGACGTGAAACTATCTAAAGAAAATTTTAAAATGGCAGCCGCACAATGTTGGTCATAAATTTAGAATCTTAAAAAAAAAAATACCTGGGACCTACAATGGTGGCCACAAGATAGGTGGTACGTTACATGGCTCTGCAATTCGTCACCCAGTATCTTCTAGCCTCACTTTCCGGATTTGAAAGCAGAAAAACACGTTCCTTGGGGATAAAACCTGGGCCTTCCACGTTGCTACTCCATCAGCTTGGATCCAAATTCTGCCTGAAGAAAATGAGTGCAGCACTACCAAAGGTTTGGTGAGCAGGGACAATTTAAGATTCAAGGCAGTTTAAATCATTCATTATTTAAGATAATGGAAAAGTTCTCAAGTGCCAAGCTGATGAAATATCTACCAATTAGCAGGATTAGTACTTGAAATAGAAGCAGCAGTGCAAAATGAAAACCAGGAATGCTTCAAATAGATTTTGGAAAGGAATTTGCTAGAAGATGGGGTCATACACATGGAAATCTATCAAAATAACTCCAGTTTGGACACACCTATATTGGAATAAGAAAAAGTTTCCTTCCTGTCCTCCCCTCCTGATTTAAGCTTCCCTCCCCCTTCCAAGATGGATGATACAAGTAAAAAGCGTGCACCCCTTGCTTTAGCATGTTAGGCTTCCTTCAGCAAAGGATTAAAGGCAATTCCTATAGAAACAAAAAATGTGTTTTTCTCTTACACAACAGCTCAACACAATTCATACTGGATGCTCGTACCACCACACATGACTAATCTCTCATTCCTCTCTCATTTATGCTAAATCAGCAACAACATGTTGAACCTTGCATTAGATCTTCACCAACACACATTTTCGGGCCTCACTCAAATTTGCCTAATACTATGTAATAAAAGTTCCTACTCTATTTTTCAAATAATGCAGAATTGTAGCATGGATAGCTCTGATGACCAGTCAAAAGGATGGGTAAGTTACCTGGAACAGAAAGTAAATTAAGACAAACTGGTGATGTTCTTTTCTCAATGAGCTTAAAGGCATTAATTTTTATACTAGCGTAATCATCAGTTTGTGGAAGAAATTGTCTTCCCATTCCCATCCACTGTGTGGATAACTGTGGCAACACTCAGAGCACAGTCACCCTGGACCAGATAAAGCCAGTGAAGAAACTGAAACCTATATTCTCTCAAATCTTCATAAGGAATTAATTTCCAAGAAGCTTTTAAGAAACAACCAAATGGGAAAAAAACGCAAACATCCACCAAACAAACAGGAGTCTCCGTATCTGTAAGGAACATCCTAACCACATGGCAGGTGGTCAGGAGCAGACTACAATTAAAAATACAGCATGCAATGCTTGTCCTAAACCTACATCTGTTGTAGAATTATTTATATAGGAAGTGGGAATGAAAAGGATACCATAAAGTGAAAATCTGTTCGGTGTTCAAAAATCATGTTATCTGTGCTCCGCACTACTGCAGTAGGCAAAAAATCATACTTTGCTACAAGTAAGGCAAGACCAGATGCTCCTAACCAGTCACTGACACAAGTTGTTTGTCAGAACTATCTAGGGTAAGAAAAATCAGTGGGGCTAGAATTACAAGCTTCCTACATAAGGAGGAACGCATGAAAAGCAGGCTGGTCACAATGGTGAGGCCACCAACCAGACAGTGACCAGCACAGACTGCTGCACAGCAGCCAAGGGTACCAGTACTGCTCCAATAAACAACTGGAAGTGGTAAAAGGCTACGCTCCCATGGGATGACTAATGGGGAGCAGCAGCATACATGCAGACAGTAGGGGCAAGGAAGGAGATAAGCACATGGACACGGAAATCCTACAACAGAAGTGTTGTGGATGTACTACACACACAAACAGACCCCTACCTGCTCTCTATCTTGCTCAAACTTAGCACTGGGGGAAGGGACCTGTACTTATGGAAGCCTGCATTACTGAGCAAGAGGGTTATTCAAAACACCAGCTTTAAGAAGAAATGGGAAATTTCTTTCTGAGTTTCAAAGCTCACAGAAATGAGTACTCAAAGCCACACTTGAAGACATGCTGTTGGGCAAACAGGAATCTTAAACAACTCTTCTGAGAGCCCTCAGCGCAGGCTTAAAGCACGCGATGCTCCTCATGGACACCTCTCAGGTTCATATTGCAGAGCAAGACAGCTCTAACACTTAGCAGCAAGGAAGTTGTGTGCAGACTCAGAGTTGACTGCAGGTCTTCAGCATCATGCAGAAGTAGAAAAGAGGTTCCCAGAGGGCAACCTCATTCACCAGGTACCGAGTATGCTATGCTCGCTAATCTACCTTCCACTTCATTCCAAGTATTCAGCTATATATATCAGGAACAACATATACTGTGAAGAGTTGAAAAATACTTCAGATAAGGTAAAAATGAAACCCAGCTTTACCCCTTTCACAGAGCAAGGCACTGTGTTTTTAATTAATCAAACACCAGAAACTTTCTATGGGGCTGGAAGTCTATAACATACATGTCTCCTTGTAGCTACGTGGTCAGGAAGCTGTCCCTCAAAACCTGTGTGCACATAATCTGTCTATTTCTGGAAGATTTTGACCCAAGGTGTAGCACTCCCTGAGAGGCTGTTGGAAATCAAGAATCCCAAGAAGAAAGCCATTTTTTTCTAGGTAGGTGACAAAAGCTATGTAGACATGTTGTTATCCGCTGCTTTTTCAGTTGCTTCTCCCCTGCCACATTGGGATTTTTAAGTAAGTGTCTGCTGGTTCTCAGTTCACAACCAACATCTGGCATCATCCATTCTTATTCCACAGGGATGTTCTCCGTATCAACAGATGGGACAACTCAAACACTTGCTGTATTAGCGTGCATGTGTCCAGTGTGTGTCTGTACAAGAGGCAGGCATGTGCAAAAGGCAGAAAAACTCAGTCTTGCAGGCACATTTCAGAGATAAGTATCCTAGGGCAAGAACAGCAGTTCCACGTAGCATTTGGGTCAAAAAAAACCCCCACAGACTTGGGTGTCATTAGGGCAGAACACAGCAGAAGTGTAAAAACACAGGTTTTACTAGAGTCCTCAAAATAAACACAACTCCCCTGAAAATACCTCTTTTTCCAGCAGCCTGCTTGTATTGTGAGCCCTCTGGAAACAGAGCCTCATTAGAAGGGAAAAAGGCTAAGAGCAGGAGAGAACCAGCACGCTGGTCCTGCCGTGTGCATGTCAACCCCCTAGCACAGGGAGAACGAAGACTGTACACAGTGCAAAACCAGGAGATGAACTATTCCACCTAACAGCTCTGGAGAAAGGTTTGAACTTCCAATGGAAATGCAAGTGATAAACCAAACCCTGCTTCCCCACGTGGAGGGCAGTTATCCTTTGCAATAGTCAGGGGAAGACAGTGCCCGTAACTGTCTCTACTCCAGTACCAGATGGTAAAGGACTACTGCCTGCAACAAGACTACAGCCTTAGGAACAGCCTATTTGACCTCCAGAACTAAAGGAAGACCATGCACACAGTGAGTGAAATTGAAGTGGGGAAAAAATAACCCCTCAGAAGGGAACAGGAGAGTGCCTGTCGCTCAGGAATGTGGACCCAACTCTTAACACAAGACTCTCTTTCCATTCTGTCCAAACATGAACATCTGGAGACTCCTCCTTCCTCACCCCTCTTCCCAGCTCAACCTTCAGCAGCTGTCCAAGGGGGGAGACAAAGAGAATTCTGTGGGGTCCGCTGGGTATCATCAGTCAAAAACAGTCTCTCTGTGCAATTTCAAGACCCAGAATCACTCTGCACCAAACAGAACTGACTAGTCAGAGGCATGTGTCACATTTGAGCAAGTCCTTGGTCTTCCTAATCCACAGCATTGACCAGTTCTCCATACTTCAGAGAAAGGGGGAAAAGAAACCTGTCTGGTACACTTAGGTAGTTGTGCCATGTATAAGGTGCATGTAAGGAACATGAAGATCCCACCCAGTGCTCCACAATGATACCCTAATTGTAACAATCTCAGCCACAAGACAGGGCTGTGGTTTTACCCTGGAAGGGAATGGGCACCAGACAAAGTGGCTGCCTTCTGGGCAGATGGTGGGAGAGAGTGAAATGGGTAAGCAAGAATTTACCTTCACTCCGTCTGACTTCTTGTTCAAATTTGGCAGCTGTGGAGAGAAGCAGAAATAGGTCAGATTTTGGTTCCAAAACTATTCCTTCTCTCTCCCCCACTTCCCTCAAAACAGCACGAGACTTCAGAAGGACAACCATCCTGCTAATTCCTCTCTAACAGTAAGAGACCTGGAAATAAGACAAGTCACTCACCAAATCCATCCTATCTATGTTCATCTATTTAGGCAAAAATGTTCCCACCTTCACCATCTCAGGAAGACCAAGTCTGAAATGAGACTTTAGAGTTCCTTTGTTTTATTCTCCGCTCACACCCTCTCATCCCATCCAGAAGTGCCAGCAGTTACAGGGGGAAAAGCTAAAGCAATCTGCTTGATCTGTGCAACACGATGAAGGCTTTACCTTCAAGTGCAGCCATTTACATAACAGACTCTACTTATAAAGAGGCAATGATAATGCAGAGGCTTCCTAATTACTGCTATGTACAGTTACTCTGGGGAAACATCTGGATAGGTGAAATAAAGACACTGGAAAAGTGCTAAAGGCAGTGTCTGATAACTGTTTAAAAAAAATAAAGAGTGAGAAGAGAGACAGGAACTAGGCTGAATTCCTTCACTGAAAGATAAAGATGCTGTCCTGCACTCAACTTGAACAACTGGCACCAGCAATGAAAGCGAGAGCGTTCAGACAGGGAGACAAGTGCCTGGCAGAAGGCACGCTTGGGACTGACGAAGGAGCGGCTTCATCTAACACAGAAAAGTGGTACATTGACAACGACTGCCAGCAGCCAGACCCCAACTGCAGCCTCAACTGATAGAAAACATAGCTTGCCTACTCATGAAGAACGTTTCAGTTGTTTCAACTTCTGTAAACAACACGCTAGAAACCTACTGGACCCACACAGTGACGTGCCTCTCCTGAGCAGCTGCTGGGAAGCATACAGGTCTGGATACTTGACCTGGGTTTAGCTCCAGCAAAGATGAGGCCTAGAGAAAAGGCAATTCCTGAGACAATGCTCACATGACTGCTGAAATGCTTCACTCCCAAAGAAAGGTTGACCAACTCACAGAGTGCTCAGCCTCTCTCCAGGAGCAGCAACATTAGGCAAAAATGTTTTTCAATATCCAAGCAACTGCCCAAGTTTTATGTCAAAAGCATTTTCCACCCTGCCTTTCCTACCACATGACCCTACAGACATGGATTAACTAGACAGTACTAGCTGAGCTGGTACAAATGACTACAGTGTCTCCTCACAATAAAGAGGTGGCACCCCCACAGAAGTTTTTTGTAGTCTCTGATTTGGTCTTCATACTTCTACTCCCTAATGCAAGAATAAAGATAGATCAGGTTTTTGTCTTCATTCCAAACCTCATGCAGAGGTTTTCTGAATGTGATGTGTCAAAAGACAGTGCTCCAACGTGCACACACGAAGGTGGGCAGGCAAACCGCCCCAGGCAACTCATCTGCCCTGCAAGGTTCCTTGTTAAGGGTACACATGCTGAGGCATTGCAAGAGTGAATCTAACAAACAAGCTCTTGCCACCGTCAAGGCTTGATGAAGCAGACCAGCTTGATTCCATCTGCAAGTGACAAGGAGAACAAGGTGACCACAGGGTCAGCAGGGGCCCAGCCTTTATACCACACACACATCAAGGCATCTCACACCACAGCTGCTGAAAACAAGAAACTGTTACGGCCTTACAACACTCCAGAAGGAGTAAAGGATTCTGCAACTTAACAAGTATCACAAATGGGATATCCTTGAAGTGTAAAAAAACCCCATCAGAGAAGGGAAACAGCACCACCATATGCCCAGGGAATGACCCAGACACAAGCGGGGAAACGATGTTTTTCACACTTTCTACAGTTTCCCCAGAACCTCACATTTGTCTTTGTGGACAGGAGACAGCTAAAATCACGTCCTATGGTGCTGAAGCAAATTCAGCCGAGAGCCTCTCTGCATGGTGCAGTGCTATGTCACGCAGACCCAGCGCTCCCCAGCACAGCCTGCCCCTCTCAGCCCTCCTCATAGCACACACTGCTCTCCGGCAGGCCTGCCAGCAACCCGGAAACAATCCCAGCCCATGGGGCATTCAGTTCACGCGTTACACTGAGGCTTGCACGGACAACTGGAGAGCCCATGGAATGCACCTGCACGCAGAGGTGACTGCAGGGACCTCGGACAAAAAGGAGGCATGCAGATTTACCCACAGGCCAACCGGCACATGTTATGAGACACAAATTAAAGGGGATGCAAGTGGAATTTCTGCAGCAAGTGACAGACAACACTTTCTGTAACAAGAATCATTTTAGACAACAAGCAGCACCACCCAAACTGCAGCTCAGCAAAGAGACAACAGGAGAGAAAAATCCAAGAATACATGAAGCACATGCTTTACTGTTCAGGAAATGGTCTTGTACCCATGCTCTGCAGTTTTCCAGGCATGAGATACTAGTATTTATTTTCATCATCCTTCCCACTTCCTCTACGCATTGAAAGGATTAAATTTCCTCCTCTCAGTGAAGAGTCCTCTATAATGAGGCACACACTGCTAAGGTGGTAGCTTAAAAGCACAGTTATGTTCCTGTTTAACAGGACACCCTCCAGTTAATTTCTGAGGAGAAACACAAAAGGCATCCCCGGGACACACCCCATATAGCACTCCCTCTTCCCACACTTCTCAGTTTTGGCCTCCATAGGAAACAGCCCGAGTGCTGGACCACGCTTGCTGGCAGAAACACAAAGCCCTAATGCTGAACTCATCAACAACGAACCAGAGCCAAGGGGAGGCAGCAGAGGAGGGAATTTCCAAGAGGGACTGAAATACCCACTCCAAATACAGCCAGAGGTAGTGCCTCCACCCCTGCCAGTCCCACGTTTCCTCTTCCAGTGGGACCAGCCCCTTGCCCAGCCTGCCCTAGGTTTGCCCTGTCCCCAGCTGTCAAATCTCAGTTACATTTTTCATCTCAGTTAAGCTTCCAGAGAGTATTTTTTGGGATGCAGAGATAACACTGAGATTGCTTTTATTAAGCCTGATTAACTCATGATGCTAGTCTAACAGACAACCCAAATTCTGGCTTCTAAACACAAGCACTTACACCATGAAGAATTCTGGACTTTGCTGAGAATTGATTAAAACAAAAATCATACCATCCCAACACAGAATTCCCAGTGACAGAGTTGCAGGTTGTTATCCTCATATTCTCGACTGGATGTCACTTCTGGGGCTCACCAGAGACCAACCGACAGTCAGTGCAGTGTATAGCCTCCAGCAGGCACCTCTGGCTACCGGTACAAACAATGCCCATGAATGCAGTGGAACTTTAACAACATCTATTTATTAAGGACTAAACAGAGCAAAGCCTAATGCTTAACTCTCTGCCACAATGGCTCTTTAGGCCCAAGCCACTCTCGCAGCAGCCACTTAAACACAGCAGAATGGTTTCACAGAATAAGGGGGAGTAGTTGTCTCATGTTCTTTGGCCTCAGCAGTCCCCTTGCTCTTAGATTCTGCAGTGACTTGCTCTGGGAACTTGCTGCAGCAGCCCCTGCACAGGAATGCTAGGCACTAAGTAAGAGACCAATACAAAGACAACCTATTTGCATGGGATAACTGCCTGGTAGAATTTACCATCTGAACTCTCTCTCTCTTGAGGAAAACTTAATTTTTTTTTTTCTTTCCCCTGCTTTGCTCTGCCCCCTGAATGACACTTCTGTTCCAGAAACCTACCTGAAGCAATAGACAAGCAGCAACATTTAACATTTCCCCCCTCAATGAAAAGCCTTCCACCAGGGCTTCCATTCCTCAACAAGACTGGAGTGATTCTGTTCAAAGTACTGCTACGGGATAAACAAAGGGTCATGAAAAGCAGTCAGTCACTTCAAAACACTCTTTTTGAAACAAGCAGAAAGAAAAGGGTAGAACCAGGCAGAAAGGCAGGTAAAAAAGCCAAACCATTTGGCAACGCAAAGCCTTTATGATCTGCAGCCACAGGATCTCAAGACTTAGCAGACACCCTCTTTCCTACCCAATTCACCTCATCAGGCACTGTCAATGCCTAGCACTGCGCACAGGCTTCCAACGCTTTGGGAAATCTCAAGGCAGACAGCGTTTGAAGATGCACACCCATCTCCCAGACATGCTCCAAAGGTTTTCAGAGAAAGATTAAAAGAGGAAGCATTAATTAAAACTAAAGCCTGAAAGACATAACCCAGTGGTGTGCTCTTGGCATGAGCCACAGAGGTCCCAGATCTCCCACTAGTGAGTAATGGAGAAATTGCTTGGGAGCCAGGTGATTTCCTTCTTTTTTTTGCCTCTGCTGGCCTCAGAAAACCAAATCATTCTCCAGCAAGACTATGTGCAAACAAGTCAAAACCAGGAGCCAGCCTGGTATTTTGTGACATTTCAATTAATGTTTTCAAACACTATCCCACCAGCAAAGAACCTCACATCCTGAAAGACACTCTCTTTGCAGGTATGCACATGTACACACACAAACAGGAGCAGAACCTTAAAGGGTCAAGACAGTCTGAACACCCATCCCAGATGCTCGAGCCTGAATGCCCCTGACTGTCCCAAATTCTAGAGTTGACCAAATTCTAAGAGTACCTCTCTTGCAGTATTACAAACACTCCATTTCCTGACAAACCAAGAAAAGAAGGTGTGAAGGGCAAACACCACAAGAAAAGGCATTCAGAGTTCTCCTGAACTTGAGAGAGGAAGACAAAAGTAAAGGGAATTGTTCACTTCTGAATCTTACATAAAAATTAACTTAGAGAGAAAAGCCACTTCTCAGCACTCTGTGAAGATGGCTGTTTCTACCATGAAAACCAATTTCGTCCATCCTTTCACTCAGCTTACAGCAGGCTTACTTACAGTTCTATATAAATAAATGAGCCCAGGCACCCTTAAATACTGCAACCATTAGGAAACTCTGAAAACCTTGCCAAGTTTCCCTTAGTAATAAATTTACATTTACTTCTCAGAAGGTGATTTAGGAGTTTTGTGCATATGATCTAATCAATCGATTTACCTTGACTGTACTTCTGTATTCTGCAAGTGAACACAGAGCAGATCAGTGTATGCTTGGATCATTTGAACATCAAAAGCCACAAGTAAGCACACCCAAATCATCCTGGTGTGACTCCAAAGATCCCACACCAAAGTTTAGATTGCAATGTTCTCTCTCACAGCTGAGTGAGTACCTACCAGAGTGCGGACAGGAGCCACAAACCGCTCATTACAACCAGGTCTCAATTTCCTGACTTACACTGAGAGGCGTGCAACTGTATCTGCAATAAACAAATAGGCTACAGCTGACCCGAGATAGAACCTCGTAAAAAGAACCACAAACAGCCAATATTACATTGCTGAATAGACCATAGCTGGGGAAAGGAGCCGAACACATTCCTTTATCTTCAGGGACTGACCTGAGGAAAAAGGCACCTAGGAAGCAACAGATGACTCACGGAAGAACAAAAACCTTTTTTCTCCTTTGTAAAAAGTAAGACTTTTTGACGGGGCAGTGAGTGGGGAGTGAAGAGTATTGCTACAGACTCTTCAAGCATACAATGTGTCACAAGCTAAAACCACACTGACAAATGAAGGAACTCCACGTTACAAAATGTGTGACAGAGGAGATAGTAATGACAACAGGATTAAAGAAGTCTTCTCAAATTTCCTGCAGATAGTATGATCACACCTAATTAAATGATACCAGGGTTCACATAAGCCTTTGTTTTCCTATTGGTTCAAAACATCTGTGAAGAAGGTTTTAGAAGATCTCATCCCCAGGCAGGAAGAAGCTTCTCTTTTCAAGAAATCTAGTTCCCTATCTGCTAGGAATGGGGCTTTTAGAGGCCCACAAAACACTGTCACCTAACTAGAGAAAATAAAACCCCCTTAAGGTCACT